ATATTTCAACTCATTTCAAATAAATAAAGTCTGATGGAAACCAAACAGATGTTATAATAACTTCATTTTTAAAATTTGCTCACAGCAATAAAAGCTTAATGCTACACTTAACCAAAGAAACAAAAACCCAAAGAGACACGTGAACATCTTAATCAAACACCATCCTCTTTGAGTTTATTCTCTGAGACTCAAATAATGTTAGATATACTTCAAATAAAGTTTCACTAACCCGGGCAAACAGCAGCTAATAGAAGCTAACAGAGATCCCAGCTAAATAGCAGCCCTTACAGACAGCTCAGCATATGTTCAACAGCTGGTCAGCAGTGAGCTTCGCTGACTCGCTGACTCGTATCGGCTCCTTTCACAAAGCGTTACAGCCCCCAGAGTAAATAAAGATGGACGCCTCTCCCCCGGCATAGACAGCTGATGTAAACGGTACGATCATATTTAATGATCATATTTAATGTTTTTGATCTCTTGAATGACTAAAACATGTTTAGCCAGGATTATGCAGTTGAATCTGGAGAGGCGGGGCCTTTGTGTGAGTCAGAGTCCTGTCAGCGGGCGTTCGTAGCCTTCAAAAAGTTCCCGCAACTTCTTATCGGACAGTTAGAATGTGTGCTGATAACAAGCTGATGGTTTTTAACTTCTCACCTGTAAATATAAATGTGGCACAGCTACCGTATGTTGCTAACATGTGGAACTAATGTGAGGCTCCATAAAACGCCATTGCTGTAAAAACGCTGTAAGAACGCAGATGACTCGACTCCTCCATTCAACGGCTCCAGGGGAAGGGGTAGGAAAACAGATCTACTGCCATCTAATGGTGAAAAACATTTGTACAGTTTACCTTTAAAATCAAATTACATAAATGCAGCGCCACCTGCTGGCCACGGAGGATTCGTGTCACATCTGTCATGGAATTTAAAGAGCGATAGTTTGACTCTATTGCTTTTGTGACATGACGACGCTTAAAGACGTAAACCAAACTCTCCAGGTGTCGCCTTCATGTGAAAATGTTTCTTTTTATTAATTTTTTTCCGCCTGTCCCGTTTGGTTCTTTGGCCATCAGAATTATTGTCTAAAGGCGAAGAAAGATGCCCAACGGATTTACTTTACCAGATGGACCATCCCGGCATCGCCGTATTGGAAAATGTGTTTCTTTGTATTTCACCTTCACGGTGAATTTCACTCATCAGTCATTCGAAATCACAGAGTCAGCCTGCAAGTCCAAACCATGGGAACATTTCCTATTACACAGCACACGCACACACACACACACACTCAGCAAACACAGACTGTGTTGCAGATAAAAGGATGATGGGGAGGAAATGGGATTAGTGAAGCAGCGAGGGAGACAGTGAGACTGACACTGACCAGGGCTCTCACACACACACACACACACACACACACACACACACACACACACACACACACACACACAGATCTGCAGGGGCCTCTGGGTCATGTGGTAGCAGACTGATCCTGACAGTGTGAGGAATCCAGCACAGAAAACCCCGCAGGAAGCTGTTATTTACGACAATAAGAGCTCAGCGATAAAGTCAGCTCTTCACAATAAAAGCTGAGCTGAAAATACAGAAATTTGTTTTATGTAAACGAAATAAATATTTTATGATTTCATCAGAAGTGAAACGATCCTGACAGTGTGAGGAATCCAGCACGTCTGCTGGTGTGTGTGAGAGAGAGTATCGATCAGGCTGATCAATCGGCTCTCTGAGGGTCCGTGTGTTTGTGTGACGATCGATGTTCTCAGAAAGAGGCTTGAACTCTGTGCAGGTTTAACTAAGCTGCAGATGATCAGCGAATCTCCAGCCACAGGAAACACACATACACACACATACACACACTGCTTCTCTACCTGCAGTCGTGTTTCTGATTGATCAGCTGAGCCCTGACTCAAAGATCTCATTTCGCAGTTAACGAGGCTGAAGTTCAGGTCAGCTGAGAAATAATCAGAAAAAATGATTTTCTGCAGGGATTAAAGACAAACATGAGAGCAAGGATGCTTCGAGTGCTGCACTGAGCAGAACAGTGTGTGTGTGTGTGTGTGTGCGCGTGTGCGTGTGTGTTACTGATCCATAAATATGTACAGAAACTTTCATGGAGCTGCGTTTGCTCCTCTGGTCCTGATCAATATTCCATCCTGTGTTTTTTTTGTTGTAAAACAGAAGTTTGTTGTCATGACGTTCAGCTCCACCAAAGCAGAAGATGAGATGTCATCGTGTGGTCATCGTGTGCTGCCCTCTGTCTGGAGCTCTGATGGTTAAAAATTAGTTTGTCTTGTAAAAATCTGAGGAACTAAAGCTCATCGACAGATTGTCTGAGCTGACTGAAACTGGGGCTGTCCTTCGCAGGAGGCGGGGCTCAGGACGGCTTAAGGAGGTTCTCGTGACCTTCAAGATGTCTGAAGTGCTCCACCTTAGAACGAGCTGGAGCTGAAGATGTGGATGATTTGGACGTTAAAGTCTGCATCCCCCTGAGGACTCCGGGAACCATCACCAGGTAACACATGCAGGGTCGTCAGGGCAACGCATCACTTCCTGCTCCCCCATCAGCAGCTGGTCCCGTCCCTTTAAACCTTCAGGCTGAACCTGAAGGAGCACCGTTCTGCTGCCTTTTTGTGTTCCCGTACCCGGCTCAGCGGCGTCTTTGAGCCTGCCGGCTCGCCTGATTGGTCGACAGGTGACAAGCCGATTAGTTTTTTCTAACAGGACGTTTTGTCCCGAGCTGCAGCAGAGAGCAGGCTCCAGGTTTTTAGGAGGATTTCTGGGTCTCAGACTCAGCAGATTACTTATTCCTCATGAAAAGGCCCGACGCCAGGACATCACAGGAGCTTAACAGGAAGTCGCTGCACAGAAGAACAAAGGCTTCTCAGCGCAGCGTTGTTAGACCTCTGATTGGTCAAGTGTAGCGTGTCCTACCACAGGTCAACTTCACCTTCACGCTCAGCTCGCTCCACCACGACAAACCGGTACGCCGTCCACATCATCCACCCATCATCATTACCTGTGAGAGGAACACCTCACACGCCATCATAGCCCCGCCCAGTCTGAGATAAAGGCCACGTTCTGGCACTGTGAGGTTTCCAAGACACTCTCCTTGCCTCGCTACACTTTGATGATTTGTTTTATGTTGTCTGATCTCTGATCAGCTTCACGAGGTCTCGGCCTGTCAGACAGTGAGTGACTGCCGACCGTGGTCAGCAGGGGGCGCTGTGCTGTGAGCGCCTCCTTAACGTGTTAATGAAGCATGACCTCATTAGCTGACTGAGAGTGTTGTGACCCAAAAACCACACAAAGGACCTCTCACTGTCTGTTCAGCTGTTTGCAGGAGAACAATAAAGATTAGTCAAAGTAATGACGCGTACAAACACGATTTCAGCTCTCAGCCACGCCCCCCGCCTCTGCAGATGAACTGGTAGAAAAATAAAAGCTTCTAATAAAAAGTTTGGTTTTGGTAGAACTTGTTTGTTGTTTGCAGTTATTTCCTTTTTTAGTGACAATAAATTCTAATGTAACATAAAAAATAGAAACTAAATGTTTCCATTTTGTGGTTTATTAAAACCACGAAGCGGTTCTAATAACATCGCATAGCTGACGGCTTTAGGACCTGCGGGAAACCGTCAGAGAACAGACCGGCCTGAGTTGCAGCGCATCATGCCAACGATAATTAACATGATCAGGCAGGAAGTGCCCTGACTCCGCCCTCCAAACTAAAACCCCATGCTCGGTCCGATGTTAAAATAAAAGCCTTGACAGTGGTTCAGTATTTTTGCTGCTCTCGTCTGCAGTCATTCGACTCCAGTCATAAGTTAAAAACTCGTTTCTGCTGCAAACAGCTGAGCAGAGATCAGGACAGCAGACACAAACGTAAATGATAATAAATTCATATTTCAGCATGCTCACTATCCACTGGGACGGTTTCTCTTTTATATGCTTCATTTCCTGAAAAGGATCGAATGTGTTTGTAGTTTTAATGAACTTTATGACTGATATTATTGATCATCTGTCCTGATGCTCATGTTGATGACTGTGTTTGTTCATATTTACTGTGACGATTGGGCCTCGTTTCTCTACAGAGGGTTGTGCGGTCAGCTGAGCGCACCATCCGCTCAGAGCTCCCTGACCTGCACTCAATCTACAGCAGGCGGTGCTGGACCAAGGCCAGGAAGATCGTGAAGGACCTCAGCCATCCCAACAATGGACTGTTCTCTCTGTTGAGGTCAGGAAAGCGATTCCGCTCCCTGAAGACCAACAGAGAGAGACTGAGGAGGAGCTTCTTCCCGCAGGCGATACGGTCTCTCAATCACACCACCACACAGTACTGACCCACACATATAGTTCTTACACACACACTGGACATTGTTTTCACTTCATCACTTAAATCACTTTAAGCATATTTGCACTGCACAAGACATAATGTGGATTGCACAACACTGGTCACTACATTCTTCATTTCCGGTTAATACTTGTACAGCTGCTGTTATTGTGTATATATTTATTTATATTTAGATTTCTTCATACATTCTTATATAGTTCTATATTGTGTATTTTGTTGTACAGTTATTTTATTTTCAACTTTAATTTATATATTTTATCTTATTCTTTCCCAGTTAAATTTACCCTTCATTCTAATTTGTGTTGTACAGTTATTTCATTTTTAACCTTAATTTATATTTTATTCCTTCCTAGTTAAATTTACCCTTTTAATTTTTCATATTTATTTCCTATCTTATTCATAGCCTTTTCCTTTTTGTTTTCTTTAGGTCACGAGCAGTTGTCCAAGCATTTCACTACATATCGTACTGTGTATGACTGTGTACGTGACAAATAAAATTTGAATTTGAATTTCTTCAAAATCAAGTCTCAAAACACATTTTCAAAATCTACATGAAAGCTTGAATCGTGTTCTTGGTTCACAGCGTGCGTATCCTTTAGGGGTATGGAATGAGCTCTTCTGCAGTATAAAAAGTGAAACTGAGGTATTTTTATTTTGAAGGAGAGGAAAGGAAGCGCGCGTTTGTCTGCTGGGCTTGTCTGTACACAAGGGGGCGGGGTTTAGCGGTAGAGGGTGCAGCGGAGGTTCAGTGTGTTCGGAGCTTCGGTGGCGCCAGCAGCTCCCAGCTCTGCCCGCATCTCTGCGCCTTCTCTCGGGTTCTGTGCGTGCGGCGGCTCCGGGGAGGCTCGGAGCTCCCTGCGGACCGCTCGAGGACACCCCGCAGCGTATTGCGGACGGCACCGGCGGAGACCTGAGGGCCCGGTTCGCGCTCCGGGGCTTTCAGGTGAGGTCCAGGTGGGCTCGGCAGGTGTGTCTCCGCGGGATGCTCCCGCCCTGAGCTCTGTTGGGAGATGCTGCCGTCCGGGACCTCCAGGCGGGACAAAGCGGCGGTCCGAGAGCGGTTGGAGGCCTCCGTGTCCGGGCTCGGGGAGCTGGAGCTCCTGCGGCGGCGGCAAGAGGTGCTGGTCCGGGCCGCGCTGGAGCTCCGGGAGCCGCGAGAGGAGGAGGAGCGGCAACGGCGAGAGGCTCAGCTGAGCTCGGAGGAGAAACTGCTGGAGGGGAACATCCTGCTGCTCCGGAAACAGCTGGTAGGTCCTCACCTGTGTCTGTCTATGACCTCTGACCTCTGTGAGCCTGGGTCAGGGTGCAGGGAGTGGTCAGCCTGACGGTCACGTGCAGAGCTGCAGGTAGTCAGCTGATCATCTCCCATGACATGTGAGCAAAAACCATTTAATATTTACACTTCTCCATATTTTACATGAAAAACACTAAAAATGTGTTTGTGAAAGAAAAGAATGTCGTTCATTAATAATTAAAAGTATACGTTTATATTAAAATGAGTAAAACAAACTTATTTTATCATTATGCATCATTATGTTATCATAAAGAAATAACTTTATGTTGTTATTTACATCAATAAATATTCAAAATCAATTATTTCTTTCTGGTGAATTTGAACCTGCTGGGCGGGTTTCAGAAAATCGAGTTATTAAATTTAAATTTTAAGTTAAAATCAGCGAAAACACAGAATTGATCGATCGATCGGTAACAGCAGAGACGAGGAGGCGGAACCTCACAGTGGGTGTGCAGCAGACAGAGATGAGATGAGGACTGAGCACAGAGCCCTGAGGAACTCCTCAGGCTGACCTGAGATCAGCTCACCTGTGGCAGGTATGCTAGAGCAGTGGTTCCCATGGCGATAATTTATCAGAGGAAGAGGAACAGGCTTCTGATTTTTCCCGAAGATTTTCTATGAGACCTCAAAGCTGCTGATCCATCAGATTGGAAAATCACCTGTTGTCAGGCCACGCCTCCTACATCAGTTGTGGGACAGTCACACCTCTGTGGCTGAATGTCTCCTGCTCTGTTGTCGGACTTGAGAACATCTGCGTACCTGCACAAACCTGGACTTCCTGTTTGAGTCGGCGTCACCTGAAATGAGCGACTGAGTTCAGAAACATATCAGGAAGGTGTTCACTGAGGGCGGAGCTGGAAGTGAAGGTGTGAGGCACATCTAAATTGGCTGTTTTGTCGCTCAAACTTCGGCATCACGTGGACGGCTGCAACCAATCATGTGCCTCATTCCCACAATCCAGAGCTTCACTGACCCAAACACAGGCGCACGAACACAGCTTCAGGCTGACGTGAAGCTAAAACCAAAAAGGTCAAAGGTCAGAGACCAAGGAAGCTTCAAGTTGGGAAGAAGAAAAACAGGAAGTGATGTCACACCGAGGTTGATGTCAGGCTGAAGCTGAAGATGTGGAAACGCTGGAACGGGCCCGGCCTTCACTTGGATCTCCACTGAGAGCACTTCCTGTCAGTTGACCGTCAGCTGTTGTCCCCGTGCTGCGTTCAGGTGCCGCTCCTCACACGCCGGCGTGTCAGTAAGAGCTTTGAAGTGTGGGCGTGAAGTCAAACAGGATGGAGGCGCACAGAGGGGAGGAAGAGTCTCCTCGTCTTCATCTGCTCGGTCAAGGCGCATTCAGGTGCACGTTGGGAAGCCTGGACATGCGGGCGCTGTGTTCTTGTCCAGGATCTGACCTCAGATCTGCTCCCGGCTCACATGTCTGAGCTGGTCGAGCATTTGTTTGCTGTCTGTCCTGCAGCTGAAGCTCTTCCTCGCAGTCTGGATCGCATTAGTGACCCCCCACCTCCCACCACATTCAGCCCTGCCCCTCCCCTTACGAACAAATGGAGATTCCTGCGAGCGGCTGGAAACTCTGCAGCTCGACTTTCAGCTGAGACACAAACCAGGCGGCTGACTCATTCTCTAAAATCAGACTCAGAACGGACTGAGTGCGCTCAGAACGCTCTGTGTCTCACAGTTATTCTGGTCCGACCCGTAATGTCCACAAACTCTGAACCGAGTGGCTGCTCTGACCTCTGACCTACTGTGTACTGTCCTGTGTGCAGTAGTATTGTGTGTACTGTGTGTACTGTGTGCAGTAGCACTGTGTGTACTATACTGTAGTATGTACTGCTGTGACGTCAGGCTGGGCGCCATGTTGCTGTTTGGAGGTTTCTGATTGGCCCGTGGCTCATGCCGCTCGCTGTCGGCTGTGCAGACCGTCGGCCGCAGTGCCGCTCGAGCTTCTTCACTGAAACCAGCCGATCGCTGCACAGGTGTCGAAACAGAGTAATCTGATTACAGTAACCTGTAACTTTATAGGGACATCAGTGTCGTTAAACATGGTGTTTTTGTTCTTTTTGGAACAGCTGATTGATTTGTGACATCAGCTCTGTTTTTACGATCAGACCGACGCTGGCGCCTGATTGGCTGCTCTGTGGTGGGCTGCAGAGCGTTTGAACGCAGCAGGGAGGAGCTTCCAGGCTTGAAACGGAGCTCGTGCTGCTGCACATTAAAGCGCTGAGGACCGACGCAGTCATGAGGTCAGCTCTTCGCTCTTTATTGGAACAGCATGATGGTGAAGAGGCAGGCTTTTATTTTGAAGGCTCACAGAGGTCCTTTAAACGTTTCTTAGGGTGAATTCGTAAAGCTGAACGAGCAGACATACAGCAAGCTACGAGTAGAAACAGTGTTACCTGGGCGAACAGGTGGGCTGTCCCGATTCGTTTGTGTTTTTGTGTCTTTTCGGGCATTAACTGGGCCACTGAAGCCACTCTGAGCTAAAATCTGTGTTTTTTGAATGGTGTCAGGTAGATAGTGAATTTAAACCTTTAAGTCCTCTATGTGTGTTTTATAGTTGGAGCATGCTCAGTGCTGCAGGACGGCTGCGTGTGTGTGTGAGGTAGTGTTTAGCCTCAGCATCGATCTGACCGAAGCCGCTTCGTCCCGATTGGTTTAAAATATCACCACGTGGAGACTGAAGCCAGCAGGCAGCTGATAGAGAAAACAGCTGGATGGGTTACACACACACACACACACACACACACACACACACACACACACAACAGAGTAACACACACACACAGAGTAACACACACACACACATGATCCTTTATTATTGATCGACTATTGATGATGTATTGGTGGCAGCAGCTGTGTGTGTGTTGCAGTTCAGTTGCAGGAATGCAGCACATGACCCGCAGCAGCGCCGCATAGCCCGTATGTTTTCCATTGTAGCGGGGGAGGGGCTGCTTCAGCCTGTGTGTGTGTGTGTGTGTGTGTGTCAGTTTGTTACCTTCGGTCTCTGTTTATAGCGACATGTTTGTCACATGACTTCCTGTTTGTCCTTAAAGCCTTTCAGGACGTTTCGATGTGAAAAATGTTTGAGGTGATTTTGGATGTTAGAGTCAGCTGGTACTTCCTGTGAAGTCGACGCTGATTTGTCTGAAGTCTGAGCTGCTTCCTGTTCTTCCATCAATAATCAGTAATCAATAATCTTACGGTCTGAGGCCCGGTGGTCTGTCCTATGACCATCCAGGATCTTTGGTGTCTCTGTGACCTCTGACCTTCAGTGTCTGGTCTCACACTGATAAGAGTCTCTGGTTTTCTTCTGTTTGTGCTCAAAGCTTTTATTTTTATAAGCAGGACCAATCAGGGGCAGCGTTACTGCTCTGAGTCTGAGGTCTTCACATCAGCTCCGCCTCCCTTGCGTGCTCCTGAAGTTTGATCTTTCAGCTGATCTCAGGTGTGTTCTCTCTGGGATGAGTGCTCCTGTTCTTCTTCTGCTGTTCGGAGCAGAGACGAAACAGGAAACAGCGGACCCCACGGCGATGAAGAGGAAACCCTCAAATGGAGGGTCTTTTTTTGACAGTTAAAACAAAACAAGAAAAAGTTCGAGCCTGAAAATAAAAACCTGAGAATAAAGAGAAAAATTTTTTTTTAGAAATACGTGAAAAGAGAAAAGTTGAGTTTGACTTTTGCTGCACACGTGATGACAAAAACACAAAAGTCCAGATTTAAAAGTTCAGAAACCTCAAAGATAAAAACCATAAAAATGTTTTTAAAATGAAGAAAAATACTTTTGACTGATTTTAATACAAAGGTCAAAGGTCGTCTGTGAATAACATAAATCAAAAGTCCAGATTGTCACCTTTTATTCTCTGTTAGTCATTCAGACTGTGGTTGTTGTTGTGTGTTGTTGTCACGGCGGTGTGCGATCTCAGCTGTTTGTGTGTCAGAACTGTCTGAGGAGGCGGGACGCCGGCCTCATTGCTCAGCTGCAGGAGCTCGACCGACAAATCAGTGACCTGCGATTGGACACCGGGACGTCACATGAGCCCGACAGCCGACCGAGCTCAGGTACGCCGTGTGTGTGTCTGTGTGCGTGTGTGTCTGTGTGTGTGTGTGCGTCTGCGTCTGTATGTGTGCGTCTGCGTGTGTGTGTCTGTGCGTGTGTGTGTCTGTGCGTGTGTTTGTGTGTGCGTCTGCATCTGTGTGTGTGTGCGTGTCTGTGTGTCTGTGTGTGTGTGCGTCTGTGTGTGTGTGTGTGTGTGTGTCTGCGTCTCTGTGTCTGTGTGTGTGTGCGCGTCTGTGTGTCTGTGTGTGTGTGTGCACGCTGAGACTGGTGGAGGTTAAACTGATTAAACAGGAAGTGAGATGATTTTTCAGATTCAGAAGTTTTGAGCTGAGCAGAAAAAGTTTCAAAATAAAAAATGTCAGATTGAAAGTGAGGTCTTTAACTGTTGCCATGACGATAGATGTAAATTTGAGCTTTGTTAATCCCGCCTCCTCCCTCCCTCAGGTTTCTACGACCTCAGCGACGCCGTGTCCGGCTCGCTCTCCAACTCGTCTAACTCGGTCTTCAGCGAATGTTTCTGCTCGACGGCCGACGCCGACGGACGCCTGCCGTCCACAGGTACCCGTGCCCTCTAGGCGGAAACGCCACTCTGTTCATAGACTGTATGTAAAAGATGGTGGAAGTTGCCGTGACCTCGCACAGACCCGTGCTGATGAAAACCGTCCGATCAAAATCTGCTGTGCCACTTCCTGCCGCGGACCCTAAAACGTTCGTTCAAGGCAACAAGCGTGGCGTCCAGATGTGCGCTGCTGCAGCTGCTGCAGCTGTTTGCCAAACAGCTGATTGTTGTGAGGTCACACACAGCCCCTCCTCACCTCTGCTCTTTGATGTCACATGACTCAACTATCCATTTGGTCACTTTGATGTATAAACACACACACAGTGACTTGACACCGCCCCCCCACACACACACACACACACAAACACACACTCAGAGGAGGACTTGGACTTTCAGAATAAAAGCTTTCAGATTACTGGGTGGACGTGTTAGATTCCTGATGATGGCAGCTGGTTTAGAAGCGGCTGGCTGTGGAGCTGTGGAGGACCAGCTCGGTCCTCGGTTACAGCAGGCCTGCAGCCTCCTCGCGCTCATCAAGATGTCCTCGAGATGCATGTCTCTAAGGATGTGTTGGGTCACAGCTGGGGATGTTTGGAGGCTGGACTGTGATTGTTGAGGCTGAAAGATGCAGACCTCGTGGAGCACTTTAACTAACATCAGTTTAAAGTCTCGCTGCTCAGCGTGAGCAAAGCCTGCAGATCCCACAGGACGCTGAAAAAGCGCCCCAAAGCCAGTCTGTCTGCATTAAAATGAGCCACTCTGTGACCTTTGACCTCCAGCGGGAGTCTGCCGGCTTCCTCTGGCAGCACAGAGAAGATTCCTTTAAACAAACCTCGAGCGCTGCAGGCTTCCTGAGGCACTGCTCATACTTGGCACTAACACATCATCAGATAAGCGGCGTGAACACGCCCACGCATTTCTGTCTCTGTGCGACCGATCTGCAGAAACAAGTACTCCACGACCAGCCTGAACGCACCGCCAGACGCTGCAGCGTCACCTTCTATGGTCATGTTCAGGCACCGCGGGCCGTCTGCACGTCCGCTTCACGCTCTCTTTCATTCCTGCCTCTCTGATTATTTGTGTCCACGAAGCCCCCGAGTGCCGGCGTGAGACCCAACCCCGCTGCAGAGCGCGGCGCATCACAGCGAGAAAGACATCAGCGACGCTTCATTAACGTTATCGGCTGCAGCTGACCGACGCCTGCCAGAGCGCCGCCACACTTTAATGCTCCGCCCATCACAGTGGAGTAACAACCTGTGTGTGTGTGTTTTCTGTGTGTGTGTTGTTTGGGTCGCTGTGGAAGCTGTGTGTGTGTGCTTTTTCTGTGGTGTGTGTGTGTGTGTGTGTGCTTTTTTTGTGTGTGTGTGTGTTGTGTGTGTTTTTGTGTGTGTGTGTGTGTGTGTGTGTGTGTTTTTTCTGTGTGTGTGTGTGTGTGTGTGTGTGTGTGTGTTTTCTGTGTGTGTGTGTGTGTGTTTTCTGTGTGTTTTCTGTGTGTGTGTTTTCTGTGTGTGTGTTTTCTGTGTGTTTTCTGTGTGTGTGTTTTCTGTGTGTGTGTTTTCTGTGTGTTTTCTGTGTGTGTGTGTGTGTGTGTGTGTGTGTGGATGCCTCGTAGCTGGTCGTGTTTGTGTCTGATGTGCGAGCGTGGGCGTTCTCGTTGGCCCCGCGAGGTCGGCGGAGCTTCGGCTTTGTTCTCAGACTTCAGCTGCTGAATAAACGGCGTTTTCGGCCGTGAGGCGGCCCATGCGGTTACGCTGTGTTCAGTCTGATTTCCACTGCAGGGAGAGCAGTGGGTGTGGAGGGTTAGCGTTTCACAGCACACTGTCTCCACTGAAAGAATGTTCCACTTACTAATGCCCGAGCTTCCACAGCGACCCAAACAGCCGAGCATTTCGTCAGAGCAGCGCTGCCTGGAAACGGCCCGCTCTCCCTGAACTTCCTGTCAGCTGTTAGCAAACACAGCGGCGTTAAAATAAGCTCACCGTGTTTACGTTTGAAGCTGTGAGGGGAGGGCACACGCTCACCATCACACGCGCTCGCCATGTAAACGAACACCCCCGACTGCTCGCTAATGTCGCCTTCTTTCTGTCTGCAGATGAGCTGGCCAGCTGTTTGGAGTGTGACGTCCTGGTTGGAGGGCTTTGTGATGAGTCATCGTCTTCTGGCACGGTCCGCCGCTCGCTCTCGGCTCCAAACCCGCCCACTGTGGATGCAGCCTCGTCCTTTCTTTCCACTGAGCCTCAGTCTAAATACCACTGTGACCTGGTGGCCCGAAATGGCAACGATGTTTATCGCTACCCGAGTCCTCTGCACGCCGTGGTGGTCCAAAGCCCCGCCTTTCTGCAGATGTTGGGTTTCGGAGGTCCCGGCAGAGATGAGGCAGACACCTCAGCTCTTCCCCCCTCTGTTTCAGCCCCCCATGTATCTCAGAGCTACTCCTGGCCGGCCTCCTCCTCACAGACTCCTTCCCATAAGCGACTGGACAGCTACATCTACAGTCTGCTCCAGAGGAAGGCCCAGCCAATCAGGACCAGCAAACCCAGGACCAGCATCAGCACCGACCCCTCAAAGAGCATCCTCAGGCAGGCTAGTCTGTGTGTGAGGCAGGTGTCCGGCCCTGGCTCTGGTTTTGGGACTCTGAGTGCATCCGAATTTAAAGCCTTGTGGACGGCTAGAGGAACATCGGCAGAGGGAGCTGGGACCTCGTCTCCACAGAGGCAGTGGTCTGTGGACGGGAAACTGGAGGAGCAGGAGACCCAGAGCGTACTGAAGGATGGCGGCTTTGAGGCGACGCACGATGGCTTCAGGAGGGGCAGCGGCGAGTCCGGCTCTCCTCTTCGGTACGACGTACAGAGCAGCTGCACTGCCAACAACCATGACAGCAGCACCAACAGTCTGAGAAAGAAGAGCAAAGCAGATCTTCCTCACGCCACGCTGTCTGCCAAAACTCTCCCTAAAAACTTCAGGGACCTGGGCAGTCCCAAAGCTAACCCCGCCCCCAATGAGGTCAAACCGCCATGTTGCCCCCCGGACCAGGAGATGTTCCTGAAATCTGCTCCAGTCATGAAAACACAGTCGAGTACTCCCAGGAATAGTCCAGGAACAGGAAGGTCAGCACTGGAGCTCACCAGTGTGGGGTCCTCCTCCCAGAGTCAGGACGAAGCAGCCGCCGAAGGAGGAAGCTGTCACACGGTTACCAACAGGTATGTCCCCGCCCACCAGCACAGACTTCGCAAGGGCGGCTTCAAGAATGTGAAGGTGAGGAGCTCATCGATGAAGACGAGTCATGTCTCTGAGCACAGCGAGCCTCCACCAGAGAGAAGACAGGACAAACTCCGCCACAGGTCCCGCCTCCTGGAAGATGGAGGCTCCGCCCACGTTAAAGTCTCCAAGAGATTTGCTTCCTCAAGAATAAAGCGCCTACCTGCATCCATCCCAGAAGGCAGAGTGCTGGACAGACAGCCCCCATCGGCACTACACGGCGCACGACCGAGCATATCCAAGCACCATCACCATGGAAACCATCACTGCTGCAGTGGTAACCACCACCATCACCACGGACGCAACCAGGTCGTGGTCGTGGCCAAACCAAAGTACAAAAGGAACGATTACCGGCGGTTACGAGCCATGATGGAAGTCCCGTACGACGAGGCGTTTAGACGTGCTCAGCGGCGTCAGAGAAAGGAGCTGCTGAACAGCAGCGTGTACCCGCCCGCCGGAGCGCGGCTGACCAGCCCGTACTCATACACAGCAGGAAGTGACTCCGAGTACTCAGCTGAGTGCGCCTCACTCTTTCACTCCACCATCGTGGACACCAGTGAAGACGAGAGGTCGAACTACACCACAAACTGCTTTGGAGACAGCGAGTCCAGTGAGGAGGAGTGCGTGGAGGAGAGCACCAACACCAGCGATACGGAGGAGAGTGGTGGGGGAGGCATGGGCAGGGGGCGGGGCCAGCTGGGGGGAGCTGGGGTCAGGGCGACGGGGCAGGAAATTATGTCAGCTCAGGCAAAGGCTTTTGTTAAGATTAAGGCATCTCACAACCTGAAGAAGAAGATCCTGCGATTCAGGTCGGGCTCGCTGAAGCTCATGACCACCGTGTAACCTCCCAGACTGGACCGTAGCCACACCTGCCTTACCCACGTGCAGGTGGGCCTGACCCAAACCCAGTTTACCCAGCCCAGACCCGACTCTTTCCAACACTAACCCGGTGGACAGACGCAGGGTGGCGGCACAGTTTGGTTCACCTGGTTTATCTGTTGATTCCCTACAAATAAACCGTTCTGATTGGATCTTTTGTAATTAAAGTACATTTTAGGCAAACACAGTCGAGCTCAGCTCGGTGACCTAGTAAATGTGTTTCTTCCCCTGCTTGTGGTCTTCACTGTCATTTTTAAATGCGACAAACCAGGCCACCTGATTGGAAACCACACCACCTGCTTACTGGTCCCACTCTTCAGAAATCTAGGGAAGCAACCTGAAGGTCAACACTGAGTGATTCACCTGGACTCTGGGTACAATAGTTCAGGACATCAAAGAAATTAACATCGGTTAAAGTAGGAAATGTATAAACAAGCATAATTTTCTTAAACTTAAAAAAGCATCTTTGAATTTCATCCTTTCACTGTTCTTACAATCCAAAAATCTAAAAATGCTTTGATTGTGAAAGTTTTCTATTTCCAACTTCCCTCAAACGCAGCATGAGATGCTTTGTTTCTGTAATGACGTGAAGGTGTGGTTTGGGTCCAGCCAATCACTTTACTGTCCTTACTTTGGTCCAACACGTGACTCGGCTGAACCCGGAACCGCACTGCTTCAAACGCGTTGAAGGCCGCCTTCGCCACCACCGTCTGGCTTCCCCGATTGGTTCCTCGGTCTGTGCCAAGCAGTGGACCTGAGTCGTGATAGATTCACTGACAACAGCGTTACTCACTGATTAAACCAGAAATAATTTAGAGCAAATGTGTGGAAACATCCGGTGGCGGCGGTTCGGTTGGACGACATATTTGTCAGAAGCAACCTGGACTCGAGCCTTGTGTCCTCTGATCTGTTCTAGAAGTGGAACTTTAGTCTGGTTCCTCAGAGTTTCTCCAACGTTCCACCAAAAGTCCAACAACTTGAAGGGACTGATTGTCCAGGGTCTGTCCGGGCAGTCAGAGTTCCTCCGGTTTGTTATGTGTGTCAGGACAAAATAATGAGGAACACAGTGACATTTTTGGGGTTCTCCGACTTCGAGGCGTGGACTGTCAGCAGGTTCCTCCTGTAGCTTCACGCTGGACCTTTTTGCCTTTTTAAAAAATTGATTGTAATGCAGGAAATTAGTCTAGAACTTTCTGCCGTCAGACTTCTGGACTTTTTGGGTCTTTGAGCTTAATTTGGACCCTGGTTCCCGCGGTGGTTCCAGCCGTGGTTCCCACGGTGGTTCCTGCCGTGGTTCTTCGTCACTGCGGCTCTGTTGGACTCCTTTAAAACCTGGTGTGAGGTTTGAGGAGGTTCTCACCACAGTAACCTTTTTATTTCCTGCACTTTGAGATGAGCTGTCAGCGGACAGGGCGGCGGCGTAACGCTGGTGTTCTGTTGTTTGTATGTAGCCTTGGTTTGTATTTATTATCACGTGACCTTTGCTGTTGCGCAGCACGCCAAATGCCTGTAAATGCTTCTCTCTTTTTCAGGTCCTGAGATGTTTTTGATGAAATCTATTTAAAGCCTAATATATTTGCTTGGTGCATTGAGAAAAGCCGACATGGTACTGACAGGTTCTGATCTGGGCTTTTATGACTTTATACTCGAGTCTAACTTTTTAACACAAATGTTTCTACTGCATCTGTTTTTTATACTAACAGTTACACAGCAGCGTGTTTACCGAGCTCAGCTGGAAGCAGGAAATGTTTAAGGATGTAGACACAGAAATGGAAACTCTGTGGGTTTCTCCCGTTTTTATCCTGTAATCAAACTCTGACACGAGTATCAGTGTGTGAGGTCTGTGGACGTCGGTTGAATGTCAGTTTTCAGCTCTGCTTGTGGACGTGTTTGTGCTAAACGTGTCCTGCAGGGATGTTTCACGCACTCTCCTCCGTCGTCTCATCTGATTCTGCGATGACAGAACGAAGAGGATTCAAATAAGATATTCGAGAGGTTTCAGTTTCCAGTCCTCTCTTCTCATTGGTCGGGGCCACAGTTTACATGTTCAGGATATAAATAGCTCCTCAGCTTTTAAAAGCCATATAAAGCTCATTAAAGCTGCCATGTGCTGTTCTGCCTTTGTGTTGAGCTATTTGTTTTTTCCTGCACCACCTCCACTCTGTAAATGTTCACATATGCAGCTGGAGACGACTGTTACTGATTTGTGTATAAAACCTGTGTATGGCAACAATGGTGCTTTACCTTCTATGCTTCATTAAATGTGGACTTTCAGCGCCCGTGTCCTGACTCTGTGTTGCCTCTGACCCGTGAGGGCTTTGTCCCAGCTGTAAGCTCCTGTTTGCTGCTCAGCCTGATCACAAGTGTTTTAAGCTGCGTCACACTTCTGACCTTTGCATCGAACCTTTTTATCGGCACATTTTTCACCGTTCGGCCTGCGGATCGCTGAGCCGGACAGACAACACAGCTTTCTACATCTAGCAACAAATCACAACAACAGTCGCTCTGAGGTGCTTTATGAGGCAAAGATGACACAATCAGATGACTCAGGTCCAGATGAGCTAAAGCAGGGGCGTCAAACTCAAGGCACACTTTAGGTCGCGGGCCAAACAAGATAAACATTTATTGAACACTAAAACAATGTTTTTTTTAAAACATAAATGTGAATAAAAACAGACAGGAATATTATTCCAGATCAAGGTTATTATCGTTAACGAAATAACGAAAACTAGAAGTGAAAAAACATTTTCGTTAACGGACTATTGTGCGTGTCCTACAATAGTCAAGGGTGAAAATGAAGTTTAGTTTCCAGATTTTTTTCTTGCTGTGTCTCATTATGCCAGCAGGTGGCAGTACGTTAGTCGAGTCGTCTGTGTTACTGCTCCGTCCACGCGCAGAATCATGTCAGGAAAAGTCGGGAGAAAGCGCCAGAGTCCAATTTGGGATTACTTTGAATATGACTGTGCTTTGGATAAAGCAAGTAGGGCTGGGCCATATTATACCGTTCACGGTAATACCGGTATAATGTTAGGCAACGATAGGAAAATGAAATATCGCGATAGAATATGAGTTAAACGCGCATGCGCAGTGCCTTTGTTTTCATACGCACATGGCCGATTGTTGAGTGAAACAGATGAACCACAATTGGGGTCCGTTCTTCGTACCTCGCTTACTACATCCAAGATCAAATGACACATCCAAGATCAAATCATCGCGCCAATTTTGAGCTCGCTATTCCGGTTCTCCGAACACACCTGTTGTTGACGATTAGTATAGCTGGATGAAGTAATGTGAGATCACTGGGTGGCTTAACAGGGGCTACGCATCGATAGTAGAAACATTGATCGGCAACCCTTTGATTGGTCGGCGAAAATGTCAAAGGAGCGTGCTCAGTATTTTTCGGCAGCAGAGCAAGAACTCTTGATTGAGGGATTTCAGAGTTTAATTAAAACGCAAGGGAACACTGCAAAGGCTGCAAAAGCAAGGAGAGAGGGCTGGCAGAAAGTTGCTGACAAATCAAACTCGTAAGTAATTTAATAATAATAATAATGGATTGGATTTATATAGCGCTTTTCAAGGCACCCAAAGCGCTTTACAATGCCACTATTCATTCACTCTCACATTCACACACTGGTGGAGGCAGCTACGGTTGTAGCCACAGCTGCCCTGGGACAGACTGACAGAAGCGAGGCTGCCATATCGCGCCATCGGCCCCTCTGGCCAACACCAGTAGGCGGTAGGGTAAATTTATTATATTACATTATATCCTCTTTCACATTAGAGCCACAACAGGACCCACTAGAACACGGGAACAAGTAAAAGTGAAATATAAGAATATTCTACAGAATGGTAATATTTATCACTTATATTGCTTTTAGTCTCTTGAAAAGAGACCCTGAAATAATCTGTTTGTTTGTTTATAACAGCAACCAAGAAAAGGGCAGAGCAAAAAAAGACAGGTGGTGGTCCTGCACCCCCTCGTCAACAAGTTGGTTAAGTAAATAATACCCTCACGGGAAAATCGATATCTCTCTATGAGCACACTGTCGCGCTGAGCTAAAGGATCCTGTCTGTCCCGCAATATACGCTGAATTCTGAAAACTCTCCTTATCAATCTTGCACCTTCCGCAATGGGTTGCTCGCGTATACGGACAGGACATGGCTGCGACAGACTTCCCAAATCCACCTTCGCTTTTATAGCCGTGGTCTCTCATCTTGATTACACGAAGTAATTTACAATTACTACTCTGAAATATGAATTACATCTGAAACAATCAAATACATGAAATAGAATGATTAATAGTACATTTCCCTTTTTTTAGGAAATGACCTGTATGTATCTGTATGAAATCGATGAAGGGATCAGGTGCTGCATTATCTTTAGTTACATTGATAATATTTATTTATGGTGAAACAGTGGTAAAATATCGTTGTTGCTTTCGTATAAATGAAGCGGACATACCTGAGTGGCCGCGATCTAATCCTGTTTACATGAAGTAAGCCTGCTCCCAAGCAGGTTTACGCTTACGGCTCTGTTGCTACGACAGCAAGTCCCGGATGAGCTTCGGAGAACCGAACGATCCAGGATCACGCGAAATCGTCAACAATCAAATCCAGCTAACTTACTTAGCGAGGTACGAAGAACGGACCCTTGGTTTGTAAAAATGGTGCAACTTCAGTGATGTGGAACTGGTTTGGTGTTTGTCCGTCAGATACACGACAAAGAACATTTTTTGCTGAACATGCAAGCGGCCGTCGTTATTGTCGTATTTGTACTCCCAGATTTAAGATGCTCTTAAATCTGGGAGTAATCTGGGTCCTAAACTCGGTCTTTTTCGGGTCAAACGAACACTGCAGCATCACTGAGAGTTAAAAACTCTCTAAATTCTTTCATCTTTAATAAAACGATCAGCATTGCTGCTTTACCAGGTGTAACTATGAAGTTTAACTTCCAGGCATCCATGAAAACAAAATGTATTACATTTAACGGAGTTAGAAGTTAGCAGGAAGCTAGCGGAAGTTAGCTCGCTAGTTACCTAAGCATGATATAGCATGTTCTGACTGAGAGATTTCTGAAAAAATTCAAACGTACAGCTCTGCTATCACTTCCAACATAAATGAAGACAGGAAACTAAACAGCAGTGACGTTTGTAGGGTTACTGAAGTTGGGCTAGCTGGTATATAATGATGTGCTACATGATCGCTAGCGACACAATTAAAACGCAAGGGAACACTGCAAAGGTTGCAAAAGCAAGGAGAGAGGGCTGGCAGAAAGTTGCTGACAAATCAAACTCGTAAGTAATTTAATAATAATAATAATAATAATGGATTGGATTTACATAGCGCTTTTCAAGGCACCCAAAGCGCTTTACAGTGCCACTATTCATTCACTCTCACATTCACACACTGGTGGAGGCAGCTATGGTTGTAGCCACAGCTGCCCTGGGACAGACTGACAGAAGCGAGGCTGCCATATCGCGCCATCGGCCCCTCTGGCCAACACCAGTAGGCGGTAGGGTAAATTTATTATATTACATTATATCCTCTTTCACATTAGAGCCACAACAGGACCCACTAGAACATGGGAACAAGTAAAAGTGAAATATAAGAATATTCCACAGAATGGTAATATTTATCACTTATATTGCTTTTAGTTATGTTAGCATAACATAAACAGTGAAGCTGAAGGACGAACTAACACTTTTCCACTTATAAAAATTAATGTTACGGTTCCTGATAGTTAGAGACAAATGCAATCGCATGGCAGGATGCTGTAAACGGACCAAACTTCAGTCAGGAGAACAACTGAGATAATCCATCCACAATACAAGGTTAGTTATTAATCTACTGCAACAACATGGGAATAGAGCAGCTGCCAGAGAATTCAACATTAATGAATCAATGGTACAGAAGTGGAGGAAGCAAGAAGAATGAGTTTAATAAAGTTTGATTTATCTGACTGCTTTGTTTCGCTTAATGTGCCTTATAATCCTGTGCACCTTATGGTCCAAAAAATACGTACTGCACACTGCAGTTTAATGTTGCAAAGCACCTCTTTTTAACTTCAATGGATATTATACATGGTTATGCTCAGGCAGTGTTGGGAAGGTTACTTTTAAAATGTATTCCATTACAAAATACAGAATACATGCCCCAAAATGTATTCTGTAACGTATTCCGTTACGTTACTCAATGACAGTAACATATTCTGAATACTTTGGATTACTTAATATATTATCATGCTTTTTACAACAACGTGAATGTACTATTGCTGTGTGATTTATTACTATTACTGAAGGTCCGCGACTCCGAACTGTAGTAAAGGGACCTCTGACTAATACGGCGGGGTCCCTGTCGGCTCGTAGCCGAAAAATAGCTTTACTTTGTTGTGTGGGTCAAGTTTGCTTGCGAGAGACAGAGAGAGGTGTTGAAAGGCTGCTCCAACGGAGCTTATTGTTTTCGGAGGAAAACACGAACACGGTGTACAGTCGAGTCTTAATAGCTTACTTACAACTGGGCACTCTTCTTGGCTGAAGTGGTTATTATTATATTTACATGCTTCCAGCTCCCGTTTTTCCTCGACGACAACTTGTACCTTTCCACTCCCCTTTTTCTCCCTCCTCGTGCTCACAGACCCATAACGTGTATGGCAGTGCATTCTCCCTGCAACACGGACTACACTGCCCATGATGCTACATTCTTTAGAGCTATGCTTGTAGCATTCTGCCTGTTAGCTTAGCACAACAACAACAACGAAAAGGCGCTCTCTCACCCAGGAAACACACAGTCGCAGAGAGAGAGAGAGTCGCGTCGCCCTGTAACCATGGCAACCGTAACGCTGCCGCCTGGAACAACAGAACGTAGCTGTCAAACAAAACCCAAACAGTCCTGACCCGCGACAAAATGAAACAGGAAAGTACCGCAGTGTAATCCATTTATTTAGACAAAGTAACTGTACTCTGAATACCACCTTTTTAAACGGTAACTGTAAGGGAATACAGCTACTCATATTTTGTATTTTAAATACGTAACGGCGGTACGTGTGTTCCGTTACTCCCCAACACTGTGCTCAGGATATGTCAGCCCATTTCTACTGGAAATGCCTTTTGGTTAAACTTTCAGCAAGGATTTTGCATTTGCACTGTTAAATTTTTATAAGGCTTTAATGTACATAAAAACCAGCTTCTTGTTTAAGTGAAAATAAATGGAAGGTTGTTGTAAATGGCCTCGCTAGAAGTCTGACTAGCTATCCACACAGCTAAACATGAACCCAGG